CAAAGATTACAGAGGAGAAAGTGATTAAATTCATGTACGATAACATTTGCTGTCGGTTTGGTGTGCCCAAAGTGTTGATTTCTGATAACGGCACACAGTTCAATGGGAAGCGGATTCGAGCATGGTGTGAAAATATGAAAATCGAGCAACACTTTGCCTCCATGGCGCATCCGCAAGCTAACGGCCAGGTCGAGGTAACTAATCGAATTATACTGAATAGGCTGAAGACAAGGTTGGAGAAGGCCTCGGGAGCATGGGTCGATGAGCTGAGCTCTGTACTTTGGGCATACCGCACAACTCCAAGGTCGACCACAGGAGAAACCCCGTTCAGTTTAGCTTATGGAATGGAAGCATTACTGCCGGTCGAGATCGAGTTATCTTCCCAGAGGTCGAGCACGTATAATGCTGAACAGAACGAGGACCTGATGATGGTAGCCTTAGATACTATCGAGGAGCTGCGTGGGAAAGCAGCAATCAGAGTGGAGGCGTACAAGCAGAGGATGCGAGCCGCTCATGACAAAAAGGTGAAAATTCGCAGACTCCAGGTCGGTGACCTGGTTTGGAAGCGCGTCGATGTACTCAAGCATGTGGGAAAGCTGGAGCCAAATTGGGAAGGACCATACCTGGTCGAGCGAGTGCACGCAGGAGGAGCGTACTCACTCAAAGACGCCCGAAGGCCGATCACTTGCCAGGTCATGGAACGTAGCTAATTTGAAAAAATATTATGTTTGAAAATCTTTTGTTTTGTTTTTTTAAGAAGCCTGAGAGCTCGACGATGTAGATTGCAAAGTTTGTTAAAAGTCAATGAAATTCAGTGATTTCTTTTGACTTTACTCGCTTTATTACACATTTTCTTATGCTCAGAATGTTGGCACGATTTGGATGACAGGATGTATGGGGTATAGTCTGATTTGGTGGTCGCTTGTTTAGAACATTCCTTGGGGTGGGCAGCTTGGTCGAAGACCTCCTGTTTAGAACATTCCTCGGGGTGGGCAAGTGTGAAGACC